TGCCTCTGGCTAAAGATAACTGAAGGCACATGTGTACCATCTGTCAGATTATTGGCCAAAAACCTTGCAAAAAGGACTAATTCAAACCTTCTAGATCTTTATGGTTGGAACTAGGCCTTTTATACTTATCTAAGATCAGTTTCCACTGTCCTGGTCCTGACCTTAATTTTTGCAAGTCAAAATGAACAAATAGCACATGATTTCTACTATAAACTCTTGTCCTCCATTCTTGTCCTGCAAGGGATGTGTTCATATGGTGTCTAGAGGTTGAATGCAAAGTCTTCTTCTAATTACCTTACTAAAACATTTTCTCAGTCAGAACTGCTTTCCGAATGACAGCAGCTGACATTGGACTTGCAGACTATGCTAATTTCAGAGCATGTTCTAGGGCATCAAGTGTATATAGCCCTTGAGCAAGCTTTGAGAGTGCACTTTGAGCTCATGGTTATGAAGGATTTGTAAGACTTCCCACAGGAGGTCCTTAATGTCTGTCTTAATGTCTTCCTGCCTTTCTCATGTTGTGTCTGGCTGTTTCCATTCCTACCTACGTCTCAGCCTGCGTAAATGGCCTTACGGTTGAAGAAACCTGAGGAATTTTATCTCACCCACACAGAGATGCTGGTAACTCTTGTTGGAACAGGTGAGCGACACCAAGTCTCCTGGATCGACATTCAGTCTACACTTGTGTTGCTCAGATAGTGGCCTGATCAGATATCTGTGGCTTAGACTGTTCACCTCAAAAGGCCCTTTTCTCCTATTTCCTACAGATTGAAGGGAGTCTGAAGTTGTTCTTTCTTTGGGCCCTCTATGAAATTGAGCCATGGATTTGCGATGTGTTGTTATACTTGAGAGAAGGCATGAGCATGAGTTTATTTACTGACCCAGTGGCCCCAAAAGGGAACAGTTATGTAAAGCTGCTGTCTGTGACATAATGGCATAGCCTCTGAAGGGAAACACTGTTGCTCAGCTACCTTCGCTATGGGATGTCTGTACTAGCAACTGTGAGGTAATTGCTGCAAAGGGTAACTGGGTCACTGTGTTCATTAACACAGAGGTCGAATCTAAAGCTCTCCTATTTACTGGTCCCTGTTGCGAAAAAGAATTGGGCACATGCAGGGCTGGTTGCTCCACACCAAAGAGGGTGTAGCTCATCAGTGTGAAGACATGCCAGTGCCCATGCAACACAAACCACTTCAAAAAAGTCTCCTTTTGTACAAGTGCTAGGATGCAATGCTGTGAATAAATATATTGACCACAGGCAAGGGGATGAGTAAAGTTTACATAAATTTTGTTTTGCTGTTCCAGTATGACAGTATGGGTTAAGGCCTCACTATTGTTTTCCCAAAGGGACAAATAGGAGGAAGTGTCCTCAGTGTCCCTTTTGCATGGTTTTTGACATGGTAGATAGAGCCACAGCCACTTCCATCTGTTATGAAACTGTTACAGGCTGGACAGTGTGACCTTTTTACATAAGCCTACTTCAGAGCCACATAAAGAACACCCTCATTGGTGATAATAATATTCCTGGAAACATGTCCCACTTGAACTCTTAGTCATGTTCACACAATGCAAGCAGAAAATTTTAAGCATGGCAGTTCTGAATGGTCTTGTCTGTAGGTGATGCTTTTGTGTTGAGCATATACTTTGTATGCTAGCTGCCCAGCGCACTAGCCTCTGGTCTATTACAGTGAACTGCAAACGGTGTTATTGTTGACTAAAACCTAAAACTATTAAACATTGTTTCCTGTAATTAAAACAAATAATTACTAAAAAAAATAAAAATAAAATAAGATATAAATATTAGATGGGACAACTTAAACTTAAAAAACTTAAAATTGTTGCATTGACAACTAGCTGAAATAAGTTTAATTTGAAGTACTACAATGATTAAACTAAAAATGATTTAAAGCTATATATATATATATATATATAAAAAAAAACACATACAAACTGCACTAAAACTACTATTACTAAAACTAAAACTTAAAATGAAACCCACAAATATAAAAATAAAAGCTATTGAAATTATTAATACATTTAAAAATATATAGTATATAAATAATAATAAAATAGCACTGATCGCAAAGAGCAAAATTGTTGGTGATATTTTTTTTTTGGCCTTTTTTGTTTGTTTTGTGTGTTGATTTTCAAAACCTGCCTTATTCAACTGCTTTGCTCTCAGGAGAATTAGACTAACACCTGTGCATTGTATTGATGTCACTATTCACACCTTTGCAAGGCCCAGTCCTGTTCGTCTCCTTTTTTTAACCTGTGAAGTATTCATACTGTTGCAACTCTTACCTTTGTTGAGAAGCTCCTCACCACTCATAACTCACACTTTACAATATTGAGTTCCCACAGACTCTTTCATGTATTAATTAGACTGTAAATTACAGGTTGGCTCCTGTCATTGCTGAAGGGAGAATCTCAGACCATCCACCGCTCTGTCCCCATTCCTACTACGCTAATGTTAGATCTTGTGTATTTATGTTTAAACGCCACAATCATGACTAGATCCAGGATGTTTAAAAAAATTTAAAACAACATTGACCCTCTCAGATTAGTTCTCGTGGGTGTGACATGTTTGAAGGTTAGTGGATTTAAATTGTGGCATTGTATACTTACGGTATGTTTGGATAGGCTTGAATATGTGTGTGGTAAATGAGTATCAGATGATGTGTTTTTGTACCAATGAGTTATTTGCTTTACTTAGAGTGGGAGTGAGTGTTTTTGTGTGCGTAACTGTATTTTTTGTGATTTGTCACGTGGGTGTGTGTTGGAGGATATAATATATGACAGATACAAGTAAACCTAATCCTACACAGATTTTGTTATGGACACAAAGCTCATACACACGCATAATATATTTTCATGTGTGTCTGAAGGTTTTATTTGTTGACAACATAGCAAGGGTCTACATGTGAGGTGAATATGTCATCACATAGTACATTGTTGTGTGTTTGTGTGCATGGTGGGAGCAGGTCTGTCTGAAAGTGAGTGACAGGTCATAGATTTAGATGGAGGCAGTCTAGACTAGCTCTGCCTGCTGTTTCTCTCAATTTCTCAATCTTTTATAGTAGGGTGAAGGGACCCCAGCAAAGCTGTCATCCCACACATAAATTTGGCATCACGTATATGTTTCGTTTGAAGTTGTTTTCCATTGGGGCCTTTAGGGGAAACCACAAAACAAAGGCAGCAGCAAAAAGCTGTCTGGATGTCTGTGTACTTTGCCTGTTCTGTCTAATTTAACCAAGTAATGACTGACATGTCTGGCTTTTTTCTTTCCCGTTCTTTGCCTTTCAAAATTATGAAAAGTGCAGACATAGAACCCATATTCTATTCAACGGTGGTTTCAAGACCTTTGTGGTGGCACTGCTCAGGGAGGGAAAACTGCTGTTGAAAAGCTGGTAAAATAAGTAAAGCAGGTCTCACATTTGTGGGGGAAGACAACCAATGAAATGGAGCTAAAATACATGTTGTTTCTGACATGTGGGCCTTTGTGTGCACAAAGAAAGGTGTTGGTACCGCATTTACTCGACTGTGAGGAAACCACACTGAGATATAGGAACCCATCTGGCTTTGGGTAGATTTGTGTCAAAGCCCTCTTTTATTGCCTGAAGGGGAAGGGGTAGGGTATAATTTCCCATGCTTTTGGCTCACTGCTAGTTTCACTATTGAGTACAAGCTGGGGCAGGGTACCATAGTAAAGACCGTTAACCTGCCTAATTAAACTCGCTGTCTGGCTCTGCAACATGTGGTAATGGGGGGGTGGGGGGGGGGGGGGGGGGGGGAATACTTTACAAGGTCATTTTGAGATGTGTGCCAGTTCCAAATAAACCAATGAGTATGTGTTTGTGTGTCCATCAGTTATCTCAATAATGAGTCAGTAAATCCCATAAGCCTCTTTGGAGCAGTCAAAATGATACATGTCCCCCTAGTATTCTCATGATTCTCCAATTAGCATGATGCAATGCTTATGGGGCTGGAACATATGGTTTATTTTTAATGCTGTGCATTTCTGGTTTAATGTGTGGGCTTTTCACTCAGCTTAGCAACTGTAATAAAAAAAAACATAAAAAAAAATGTTTTTGCAGACTTTTGCTTCTATAGGAGAGGATTAGCATGCTCTCAAGAGCCGCTTCTAAATAGTTGTGCCACATTAGTTGCGCCTTTCACGTCTGGTTAAAGACTGCTCATTTTGGGATTTAAAAGCCATCCATGGAGGGTAAACCCTTGCGTGATCTGGATCTGAATGGTCTGGGTCATTCACTGCTTACCAAGAGAAACCGCAAAACTGCTTTTAGATCAGTTTAAAAGAGTATATTATACCAATGAGGCATGTCAGCACAGGCTTAATGGGGGTTGTGTAGAATAAAAAAGGCCGCAGTAGGACATTCTGTGCTGAAAGAGTTCATTGTCCACATAAGTGCTGGACTTGGTTCACATCAGTTGGCACCGCCACTCCAGTTTATCGCTGTTAGCGACGCATGGTGGTGTTTATGATGTGGCCTCTTTAACACCTTGTTTTTGGAGCAAGTTTACTTTTTCAATTCAATTTTTACAATTTACAATTTTCAATTCAATTTTTCAATTCAAAATTTCAACAATCAAATACTCTGAAGCACAGCTGCATCTCCTTATTCACAGATGGCACATTGGCCTATAACAGGAATTCACAGCTCTGGCCCTCAAGGTCCACTTTCTTGCAAAGTTTAGCTCCAGCCTTTATCAAACTCGCCTGCCAGTAACTTTCTAGTAATCCTGAAGGCCTTGATTAGCTTGTTCATGTGTGTTTCATTAGGGTTGGAGCTAAACTCTGCTGGAAAGTGGACCTCAAGGGCCAGTGTTGAGAACCCATGGCCTATAATCTGTAAAGAGTGTAAAATACTGTATAACTTTACAGTCTGTTTTGAAAACATCACGTATGTCTGAGCGATCATGAATGTGTATTGTAAACAATAACAGCTGTGTGTTCTGCTTTTTCTATGTGTTTGTCACAGGAGAGCGCCCCTTTCCCTGCACCTGGCCTGACTGCATTAAGAAGTTTGCTCGCTCTGATGAACTGGCACGGCACTATCGCACCCACACGGGCGAGAAGAAGTTCGGCTGCCCCCTGTGCGACAAACGTTTCATGCGGAGCGACCACCTGATGAAACACGCACGCCGTCATTCCGACTTCCAGCCGGCCATGCTGAAGAGGCAGCACGGCGGTGGCAATGCCACCGTCTCAAGCAGCACGCGTCCCGGCTCCCTCAGCGATTACAGTCGATCCGACGCCTCAAGCCCCACCCTTAGCCCCACCCTCAGCCCAGCCAACTCGCCTTAACCTGGCCGCACTTTCTTCCCACAGCGTCTGGGTCTCCAGGCTCATTTTTTTATTCCTCTCTATCCATAATTTTTTCCCTAAAAAATTACCGGCGTAATAAGCGCCCATGCTAAACCCTTCGCTTGCTGTGGTGTACTGTACTGTACATAACTGCTTCTTGTAGTGCAATTTTCTTGTGCAACCCCTAAAAGAGAAAACAAAAACAAAAAAGAAAATGCCTTTTCCACATGGCAATATTTACATGATGTACCATATGTCTGTATTTTTATAGCTTCTGGCCACAGCCTCTTTCCATTATGGGTTTTTTGTTGCTGTTTCTTTCATATACAACCGCTCTGTTCAAGTGAACTAAAAAGTTGAAAGGTTTGACAGGTAAAGATGTTTTTTTAATATAAAAACGGGTGAGGGAGAGGGGCACACACACCTCAGGATTCAGAACAGTTTTTTTCTCCTTTAATACTCACATTGACTGCACAATACAAGCATCACTTTACTCCGAAATTCAACAGAGGTTGAATTTTGCGCCCTGCTCAGGGATGGCCTCGTTAGCTTGAAAAAATGAACATGATGAAGATAAACATATGTTAAGAAACAGCCTTACACTTGGACAAAAGGAAACTTTGCACTCTTTTTTTTGAGTTGGTTTGTTTGTTTTCACATCAGGGGAAGCAAATTCTGGGTTTTAACAGTTATTCATACTTTTTTATTAATATTATTATAATTTTTTCAATCAGTCTTTTAATGAGAGTGGCAGAACTGCTCACCAGATACGAAGGGTTGGGGGGGGGGGGGAAATTCTGTCTTGAGACTGGAAATGACTTTATTTTCAACATCGCTATCTCCTGCTAACCCTGTAGGCACACAGAGCTCTGTTGGCCTGGGTCCATGTTTCAAAGGGAATCCTCTCAATATAGCTTGAATGTCATTATCAGTCCACTTTTACATGCTTGAGCCACCCAATGAGGAGAACAGACAGCACCACTTCTCTCAGTGGACTAAACTAAACTCCCCTTGAAAATTTGGAGGCTAAAGTTTCAAAGCAGCTGTTTCCTCAATAAAAACAGCACATTCATCAACTTCAGGGTTTTTCACTACAGTACGACATATTCAAAGGGACTTGTCTGGACGTACTCCTACTTCAGACTCAAATAAAGACAAAAAGCACATGAGCAGAATCCACCAAAGGGCCAAGGTGTGAACGAAAGAACAGAGTGTTTTTTTGTATTCTACCCAGAGGAAGAAGGGAGGGAGGGATGTTGGCATTCTCTCAGGTAACAGCAGAAGTCCTGGCCCTCTGCCCTCTGCAGAGATCCATCTACAGAGGCCTTCCACTTAGAAAACTGCATCATCCTACACAGGGCTATTCATAGCACACTAGCCAGGGAGACAAGAGCCATTATAGTGGAGCTTTACGCACTCTTGTCTCGCTCACTCTATCTGAAAAGGAGTGGGCGTGTGGGAGAGAAAGTTTGAAAGAAATAGATATCAAATCCACACACCGTGTCATGACCAGGTGCCATGTAACAAATATTGAAGTGACAATATTGCAGCCATATTTGAAACTTAATATATGACTATGTGAAGCTGGAATTTGGACCAGTGAGATTGCACTGTTGGCAGAGTTACACAGCAAAACAAACACATTTTTCAATTCAAAACCATGTGGTTGACAAAATGTCTTGTCAGGTATCACTTGACACGTGCCATTGCACCTGGTTAAGACTAGTGGTTGACCGATGTGCGTCTCTCAGTGACTGATGTAATACCGATATTTACAAAATAAAATTTAATGACAGAAAATGTAAAAAATGTTTACAATTATTTTCTTAATTTTAACATTATAGTTGAATAATTAATCGGATATATCAGTTGTTGGCCGATACTTGTAATCTCAAAATGGATAAATATTGGCTTAAATAATCGGAGTGGACCGCATTTTCCAAAGGCATTGTTAGCGTAGTTATATCTTAGAGATCATTGGTGCTTGTGATGCTTGGATACATAGCCCTAAACAAAATATCTCTCAGTAAGATACTGTTATCGGCCAATACCAATAATCACAAAGTTACCAATTAATCGGCCTTGCTGATATGTTGGTCTGTCAGACAGTGTTATCGGCTGATATGTTTTTTAGTTTTTTTTTTTCAATGGCCAGATATCAGCAGATTAATTGGCATTGCCGATATATCGGTCAATCACTAGTTAGGGCACAGATTTTCAACTCATTGAATACTAGATTGTCAGAGTTTGTATCATCACGGCTGTTTCACTATGTGATGTGAGCAACAGGCCTCCATGAGAACAAAGAGCACTATCTACAGGAGGCAGGAAAGAGGGGGTTGACCCATAGCGAGACAGATAAAGACTGAGGCTTTATCAGAAGCTGAGCACTCCAGCAGAAGAAACACCCTGTCAGCACGGAAACCTCCCTCCCCTCTGCACTACTCCCCACTCACCCACCAACAGCATCCCACAATGCATTGCAGGAGCTTAAAGAGGGAAAATGGCCTCGTCTGATTGGATAGCATCCAAGCAGCTGGCTGGGGGGGGGGGGGGGGTGTTGTAATAGAGGAAGTTGAAGCCCAAATCATAACGGCTCACAGACAATAGGCATGATATGCTATCAAATCATAGTTTTCAAATGAGATGTTATCAGTATTTTTTTTCCTCAGTTTAGCATTGTCGACGACTTCTCAGACAAGATCAGTCACTCTTTAAATGACTGTACTTTTTCACAAGCACAGGTAAACACTCACGCATCCTTTTTTTGTTTTACTGTTGCGGACCACTGATTTGTCAGTGTGACCACTCATTACCTCACTGAACAGCTGCTTTCAAACTTGACTCTCCTTAAAAAGGGAGCTTTAGGCATTACTACTCGATTTGTACATAATCATACATATCAAGTGAACAATGAATTTGCCGTCCTTTGTCGCTTCAGCCTGCGAGGATGAAGGGTTACCATGAGAAACTGTCGACCGGGCCTTACTCGCTCAGGCGAAAGGCATACAAGACCCTCCAGGAACTGAGGCACCGCTCTCATTTTCCCATACGCGCAATGTTCCTAAAGTGACACTTTAATATTCATTTAGCAAGCTTTCTGTGACAGTTTTTCACTTTATATTCATAAGCTCATTATTCAACACCAGCCATCTTGTCTTGTCTCATATTATCTTGCACATATTCCTTGCCCACCCTCCGTGCCCAGTGTGGGGAAACCAGCATCAGAGTTGCCCAGCTGGACGAGCGCTCCGGGGCTTGAGGAGCAGGTGGGGAGGCCTGTGAATGCCATGCCTTGTCCCCCCTTTATCCTCCCTAACAGCCCCCATCCCCCTCCCAGGGGCCTCTCCCATAGCCCTCAAAAAACCCTCCACATAATCCCGGCTTTCAGCTAAAGAAAACAGCCCTAATAAAAAAAAAACAGTGCCACGGCTGCATTATTTCTTATTATTGCAATAAACCCACACGTAAAGCCGTCTAGCTGTGGTCGGCACCCTCCCCTGGCCCTTCTAAGTCATTTCAGATTTCTACTCCAGAATTTCGCACGTCAGCTTTACTTCCAAAGCAAGCTGGCCATGAATGTTCACTGTGTGCAAGAAACTAATTTGTAGACGTTTTATATAAGTTTCTGTTCAACCGCCTTGGACTGTATCTGCAAATACTCCCAACTGCTGGTCAGGAGAGGGTATTTCAGGGCAGAATAAGGTCGGTCTGAACCAACGTCCACTGCATTAGTACTTCTCAAACCAGGCAACACAAGTCTCTTGCATTTGGGTACTGGTTAGATAGAGTATACACAACTAAATATATATTTTTTTCCTTATAATATTTACTGAAAATGTATTTTCTCAATGCAAATTCACTCAGCCCGGGTTAGTGTGAATTACATGTAAAACTGAATACATGCGTGCTTATGTTTCTGTATTTTTCACTGTACCGATACTACTTGAATGCAAAGCAAGACCATTGAACACCTAGGAAACATGTCTAGGTCATGACTAGTCAAACTGTACCTGCTACGTTTCTCGGCTTAAAACCCATGGATGTACTAATTTTTCTTGATTTGTTCAATAATTCCGCATTGTGTTGTATTTTTTTCTAATTATTTTCTTTGTGTTCAGATCTTAGCTGTTATTATTATAATTGGTATTTTTTGCGAAGTTTGTTAGTGTTTCATAAGGCTTTCTTTTCTGTCTGCTGTAACGATGCTAGTGAAATTGGTCACTGAAAGAAAGCGTTTTATCAACAGCGGAATATAGGTGTATAACCACCAAATTTGAAAACATGGAGGTAAAAGGTAGTTTTAAGTGAGAAAAAAGGGAAATATCCTGACTTCTCAAAAGCATTGCATGAGACAATGCATACATGCGACCAAGTTTGATATAATGCATTACCATAGAGACCACAGCATTGTGAGTAGATAGTCACATTCATGTTTTATTGTTTTATTTCACATAATTAGAATTACATCTGTGAGTTACATTTTTCTGTCATGTATCTTTTCAAACTCATACCTCTATAAATCGAAAAGGTTATGATTTATTATTTTATTTTTTTTGATTGGATGGGGGATTTGTTGGATTTCATATCTGGAAGAATTGTAAATTTAAATTAAATATTTTTTATGAATTATCATGGTCTTACAAGCCACAGAGCATCATATTGAAAGTGAATCATCTTTGAAAATTCATTCTACCAGTGGGTTGCATAAACCCACACACCCAACTCAACGAGAAACGATTTGTTTTGTACAAAGCTATTTGTTAAAAAAATCCTACTAATGATTATAATAGCATTTTATTGGATCCTTCAATCCAACATTCAACAAACTGCATGCTAGTTTAATAATGAGTGCCAAAGGCTTTGGAAAGGTGATTTTATTTAATCATATACAGTGATAGTCAAGATAAATATGACCTTGTACAGTTTTCTATGAGTGATGTTCATTTTTATGTGTATGTAGCGGGGTGAATGATGTATTAGATGCGTGAGTATTTCTAATTTCCCCCCTCTGGCATGATCTTGATGTACTTTTTGTTTCTTTAAGTTATGTTTTTCTTAATTTGTCATTATTGTACAGAACAAATGCACATATTAGTAAAAGTGAAAACTCCGATATTAACCTGTTCACCATCCTACGTGAAAGCTCTACCATTCCAAAGGATTGCAATTACATTTGCTATAATTATGCTGCTTATATCCAACCAATGCATCAAAGCTTCTTTTCTTTATGTATTTATTTTGTTGCTCTTACTCTTTTTGATTGTGTATCACATGACTTTTGTTACTTCCCTCTTTTTTCCCTCTTTGCTGTTCTTCCGACATTTATTTGTCACCTGTAAACTCCTACATACTCTACTTCTGTCAGGACCACTATCGTCAAAG